TCAGATTACAGGCTGACTCTGAAAGCTCAATGTTTCCCCCTCAGATTACAGGTAAACTCTCAAAGCTAAAGGTTTCCTCCAAGACTATACGGGCTGACTCTCAAAGATTTCACCTCATCTGTCACAACCAGCTCATGATCAGATGAAGGGAAATTTTCCTGCAAAGTAAAATTCTGCATTATTTAGAATGTCAAACTTCAATCAATCTTTCTGATATTCAACACTCTGCATATAAATACCGCTTCTTGATTTTACTAAATCCTTTCATCTATTACACTACACAACCAAATCATTTAAATGTGGTGCAAATGACAGATTTTACATTTTATAGTGATTACTTAATATTGATATTTTGCCATAGTTTTTATGATGATGACTAAACTTCTGACAATTAATTTGACTGTAGTTTGCAGAGTGAAACTTCAGAACGGTTTATTTCAAATTCTTGCTGAAGCTTTTGAAAGCTGAGCATTAAAATAGGAAATTAAAACTGGCATCTGTCCTCCGTGAGCTGGTGCCCATAAAACCTGAAAGTCTAGTTTGCCAAACAATATTTTGAAATTGAAGTTAAATGTTTCTCTTTTCCCAATTTTTTGTCTATAAATTTTAGATTATCATATTGCAAAAAGGATCAGTTTTGTTGAAATCAATGTAGCTTTTAAAAGTTCTATTCATTAATCAAATCCATTTGTGTTTTTTAAAATAATCTTGAAGCCTATCATGAATTGATTGATGACATCCGTAGTTATAGAGTAACTGTTTCAATCAATGTTACAAGTATAGCCTCGGTCGAAATTCTAAAACAATAAATCACTTCTGGACGTGGCAGGAGTTATAATGCTGGTATGTGTACCGTCAAACAGAATTAACTCCAGGCTGGGAGGAGTTGTAATGCTGGTATGTGTACCGTCAACCAGAGTTAACCCCAGGCTGGTAGGAGTTGTAATGCTGGTATGTGTACCATCAACCAGAGTTAACCCCAGGCTGGTAGGAGTTGTAATGCTGGTATGTGTACCATCAACCAGAGTTAACCCCAGGCTGGTAGGAGTTGTAATGCTGGTATGTGTACCATCAACCAGAGTTAACCCCAGGCTGGTAGGAGTTGTAATGCTGGTATGTGTACCGTCAACCAGAGTTAACTCCAGGCTAGTAGGAGTTATAATGCTGGTATGTGTACCGTCAAACAGAGTTAACTCCAGGATGGTAGGAGTTATAATGCTGGTATGTGTACCGTCAAACAGAATTAACTCCAGGCTGGTAGGAGTTATAATGCTGGGATGTGTACCGTCAAACAGAATTAACTCCAGGCTAGTAGGAGTTATAATGCTGGTATGTGTACCGTCAAACAGAGTTAACTCCAGGATGGTAGGAGTTATAATGCTGGTATGTGTACCGTCAAACAGAATTAACTCCAGGCTGGGAGGAGTTGTAATGCTGGTATGTGTACCGTCAACCAGAGTTATCTCGAGGCTGGTAGGAGTTGTAATGCTGGTATGTGTACCGTCAACCAGAGTTATCTCGAGGCTGGTAGGAGTTGTAATGCTGGTATGTGTACCATCAACTAGAGTTAGCTCCAGGCTGGTAGGAGTTGTAATGCTGGTATGTGTACCATCAACTAGAGTTAACTCCAGGCTGGGAGGAGTTGTAATGCTGGTATGTGTACCGTCAACCAGAGTTATCTCGAGGCTGGTAGGAGTTGTAATGCTGGTATGTGTACCGTCAACCAGAGTTATCTCGAGGCTGGTAGGAGTTGTAATGCTGGTATGTGTACCGTCAAACAGAGTTAACTCCAGGCTAGTAGGAGTTATAATGCTGGTATGTGTACCGTCAAACAGAATTAACTCCAGGCTGGGAGGAGTTGTAATGCTGGTATGTGTACCATCAACTAGAGTTAACTCCGGGCTGGTAGGAGTTGTAATGCTGGTATGCGTACCGTCAAACAGAGTTAACTCTGGTTGATGGTACACATACCAGCATTATAACTCCTACTAGCCTGGAGTTAACTCTGTTTGGCGGTACACATACCAGCATTATAACTCCTACCAGCCTGGAGTTAACTCTGTTTGACGGTACGCATACCAGCATTATAACTCCTACCAGCCTGGAGTTAACTTTGTTTGACGGTACACATACCAGCATTACAACTCCTACCAGCCGGGAGTTAACTTTGTTTGACGGGACACATACCAGCATTATACCTCCTACCAGCCTGGAGTTAAGCTAATCGTCATCAACCATGGAATACTTTATAAATGTCTGGAATACCCTTATGGAGTGACTGATACCGCACTATGCTGGATTCAGTCATACCTGAGTGAACGACAAACGGAGTTAACTCCAGGCTGGAAGGAGTTATAATGCTGGAATGTGTACCGTCAAACAAATTTACCTCCAGGCTGGTAGGAGCTATAATGCTGGTATGTGTACCGTCAAACAGAATTAACTCCTGGCTGGTATCAATGTTGAAGCCGAAATACAAGAACGGAAAGCAAGCTAGGAGACACCAAAAAATAAAAAAAATAAAAAGGAATATCAAACCAGTCACTCTGACATTTTAGTTGTTGCTATTGTTTAAACTATTAATTTTTGTGAATAATGAAATGTTCAGTTGTGTTTCAAGACACATTTTATGCTTGTATACACCAAAATAAATATTCAGCTGATGTTTGAGTTGACAGCTATTATCTTTTCAAATTAAGAACTCCTGAACATAACTAATTTAAAATAGAAAACAAACATTTGTACAATGTATACATTGTAAGTTTGAAATGGAATCTAAAGAATTGGTAATAACTGTATACCTGGGGTTATAATGTATCTGTGTCTAGGCCCCTGTGACTGACAAACATGTTTCTACATCAACGTCGCGGATGTGATGCTATTGGATATTGCCCTGAAGACCAGGGTAAAGTATACGTATGCAGTGAGGATATTGTGGTTTCCCTTCCTGCGACATCTCATGCATGTGGTAAATGAAATGCCGTTTTGTATTAGACAGAGTAATTCAGGAAAACCTGTTCATTGGTTAGGAGGTTGTGTATACTGTTCAGCGGACGTCACTCCAAATTGTCACCTGCATTGTGCCGGTGACAATAGGATGATGCTCCACTGCCGTGCTTAAGTATTATTGTCATGTAATGAACAATCTTCTGTAACAGAAAATGTCCTGCTGTCGTGTTGGTAAAGAGATAACAAGAAAAAAAAATCTTTAATGTTTTTACAGTGACATTTAAAAAAATTATTTCACCTAAAAATGAACCAGTTAGTCACATGACAGAAAGAAATTCACAACTAAATTGTATTTTTTTGTTTCATTTAAGAACATTTGCTGGGTTGTGTTGTTGCATTGTGTAACAAAAACAAAGTGTTTCATTTGTTTGCTGGCCTATGTTCACATCATCATTGTCAAATTAAGATTGAGGAGAAATAGATTTTAATGAGGTATCAGTCCAATTTTTTATCAGAGGGGAAGTTAACAATACTCTTTGATTATGTTATAAAACAATAATTTTTAACTTGTTCCTTTCAAATTGCCTACTAATACACTGTCAACACTGACCACCTGATAGTGTGCCCAGAGCCTCTTTGTCATCTGTCATTGGATATTTGTGGCTGACCATCACCACAAATTACTGGTCACCACTCTCCTACCAGGGTATTATCACATTACTGACCGATGTCGCACACCGATAGTCCCCGGAGTGATGTCCAGTATCATCAAATCAACATACTACGTGGCTATAGATGGCGTTAGACTGGTCTCACTAGGGAAGTGACCGGAGATTAGTTTTGCCCTCGAGTTGATGGAAACATTTAACACTGTTGATCACACATGCTCTAGGAGAGTACTTAACTTCCTAGACACTAAACGGTAGACAGGTGTCATACACCACATTTTCAAAAGGGTTTGGCACTAAGAAGTTCTTGTAATGTAAATTTGGACTTCATGAATTAACAGAAGAAACAATTCAAATGGCATACATGTAATTTGATAACAGTTGAATAATTCTAAGTTATCAGATAGTGTTAGTTCAAAAAATATACGGAAGGGGGTATCGCATGTATAAGGTGTAAGATAGCATGTAACCTTAACTCTAACACAATCACAGGTATAATGTGTAAGAGGGATAACTCTAACATTTATCACAGGTATAAGGTATGAGGTATAAGGGAGAGAGCTCTCATCCTTTTCTATCCCTTCAGTACATATTTTACCCATTCTACTCATTTTCCTATCTTTTCGTCTGCTGGATAACCGAACTACTTGGTAGTGAGGCGGATGTAAAACCAATCAATCAATCAATCAATCAATCAGCTCAAATGCAAATCACAGGCATAAGGTGAAAAGTAGCAAATATCACAGGTATTATGTGTAAGATAGCATATAGCCATAACTCTAATACAAATTACAGGTATCAAGCATAAGATAGCATATAGCCTTAACTCTGAACACAAATTACAGGTATTATGTGTAAGATAGCATATAGCCTTAACTCTAACACAAGTTACAGGTATTATGTGTAAGATAGCATATAGCCTTACCTCTAACACAAATTACAGGTATTATGTGTAAGATAGCATATAGCCTTATCTCTAATACAAATTACAGGTATTATGTGTAAGATAGCATATAGCCTTAACTCTAACACAAATTACAGGTATTATGTGTAAGATAGCATATAGCCATAACTCTTATACAAAGCATAAGCATAATGAGTTGGGGAGACAGTTTTAAAGTCAAAAGAATATACAACTTCAATTCTTACACAAATAACAGATATAGTTTTTAAGGGAGATAACTTTAACAGGTATCATGTGAATGTTACGTTATATGCCTTCAGTGATTGCTGAATCAGTACACAATTCTGGTGCATTGTCACTTAACTTGTGAATGTTTATTACAGCTATGTTTTCAAACAACTCTATCTATCTAGATTAATAAGTTCCCAATGTAGGCGGAAGATTCTGAAAAGTATGAAATATACCTGTTCTTGTTGCAGACGAGCAGTTGCTCAGCGTTGCCCAAACCCGCCCATGCTGAACCTGGTTTCTGTAGGAGGTCAACACCAGGGTAAGGACACATCAAGGTCATACCGTTGTTAAGGTCATGTAGCACAACAGGTACAGTGGGACATGTAGCGTAGGCTGTCTGTTTGTTATCTTAGTTTTCTGTAAAAGACCTGAACAGAACCATGAGGCCTAGCTAGTGTTTTGATGTATAGCTTGCAGTTTGAAGGAATGGAAATACAAAGTTTTTTTCAGATTAATGACCTTGAGCCATGAAGGAGGATAAGACCTGTTTAAAATAATATACAATGTACCCAAAAAGTCTGGTGAAGATGTGGGGCTGCAGACTCCATATTATAGTGAAACATTGTTTTAATTTTCCCTGTTTATATTGTTGTAGGTGTGTTTGGGTTCCCAAAGTGTCCAGGAAATAATAGCGTTGTGTGTGATGAAGTCAGAAAACTCCTTAACTTAGGGGCTTATGTGAGGTAACTGACCACGGTGTTTACAAGTCTTCTCGTTCATTGGCCTGTTTTTTGTTGCCGACATTAAACTTACTATAAACATCTCCTTTTAAGCTTTTAATGCCATTTTCTCTGTACAGTAGATTTCACTTAATATCACCTCTCATTTGTCAGAGGAAGACATGATATTATCTGGAACATGACATAAAGAGAACACATGTTTTTCTGAACATTTCAGATGTTAAAACCTGGCAGTGATCATATTTAAATGTCCAAATGATATGGTATTTACTTGAGGACCGTCAGATGTTATACATGTGTAAATTAATAAAAATCCTCAAGGTTTTGTAAGGCTTGATGAATTTCTGTTTGTAGCAAATTACTTTTTAGAATCATAGTATATGTCATTGTAATGGGTTTTTTTCTATTTCTTTACAGCTTTGTCCAGAACAAGTAAGTGATACAAACATGTAACATTACAGATTAACAGCATCCTTCTCCGTCTTGTCAATATAAAAAGCCTCCGACCTGAAGGGTGAGTTTTGTCAATGTGACAGAGAAATCTCTGCCAAGGAAAACCAAGTTATCACCCTGAGGGTTGGCCATGCTGTGTTGCACCCTCAAAATAGTGGATGGTTATTTATCTGCCATTATTCCAACACTATATTTAAACACAATAGTTTTCTGACTTTTCCAATCAGCTGTAAGATCATGTATAGGATTGTTTTACACACAAGTTTAGGATGTTGTCTTGTTAAACAAAGAACAGCATCAACTGACAAGGTTTCCTTTCAGTCCGTCAGATTTATGAGTTCTCTTGTAAGGTATAATGAATTAAGATACAAGACAAGCAGGTGGTTGATCAATATGATTTAATAGCTATTTTGTGTGTCCTTAAACTGAACATGTTTTATATGGGTATTAATTATTTTTTGATGTTTTTAGTTTGGTACAGGCCGAGTACTGGCAGGATCCCTTTAACGAGGACGAGTACAAACAGTACAGCGTGTTCCTGGCCGATATCAACCAGGAGAGGGTAGGTCCTTTATATCAGGGGATGTCGTGTATTCTTTATACAGAGAGTATCAGGGGATGTCGTATATGATAATTTATACAGAGAGTATCAGGGGATGTCGTGTATACTTTATATCGGGGGATGTTGTGTATACTTTATATCAGGGGATGTCGTGTATACTTTATATCGGGGGATGTTGTGTATACTTTATATCGGGGGATGTCGTGTATACTTTATACAGAGAGTATCAGGGGATGTTGTGTATACTTTATGTCAGTGGATGTTGTGTATACTTTATATCGGGGGATGTTGTGTATACTTTATATCAGGGGATGTCGTGTATACTTTATATCAGGGAATGTCGTGTATACTTTATATCAGGGAATGTCGTTTATACTTTATATCAGGGGATGTCGTGTATGCTTTATATCGGGGGATGTTGTGTATACTTTATGTCAGGGGATGTTGTGTATACTTTATATCAGGGAATGTCGTTTATACTTTATATCAGGGGATGTCGTGTATGCTTTATATCGGGGGATGTTGTGTATACTTTGTATCGGGGGATGTCGTGTATACTTTATACATAGAGTATCAGGGGATGTTGTGTATACTTTATGTCAGGGGATGTTGTGTATACTTTATATCAGGCGATGTCGTGTATACTTTATATCGGGGGATGTCGTGTGTACTTTATATCGGGGGATGTTGTGTATACTCTATATCAGGGGATGTCGTGTATACTTTATATCGGGGGAGGTTGTGTATACTTTATATCGGGGGATGTCGCGTATACTTTATACAGAGAGTATCAGGGGATGTCGTGTATACTTTATATCAGGGGATTTTGTGTATACTTTATATCGGGGGGTGTCGTATATAATAATTTATACAGAGAGTATCGGGGAATGTCGCGTATGCTTTATATCAGGGGATGTCGTGTATACTTTATATCAGGGGATTTTGTGTATCCTTTATATCGGGGGGTGTCGCATATAATAATTTATACAGAGAGTATCGGGGAATGTCGCGTATGCTTTATGTCAGGGGATGTCGTGTATACTTTATGCAGAGAGTATCAGGGGATGTTGTGTATATTTTATATCAGGGGATGTCGGGTATACTTTATATCGGGGGGTGTCGTATATAATGATTTATACAGAGAGTATCGGGGAATGTCGCGTGTGCTTTATATCAGGGGATGTCGTGTATACTTTATATCGGGGGATGTCTTGTATACTTTATATCGGGGGATGTCACGTATACTTTATATCAGGGGATGTCATGTATACTTTATATCAGGGAATGTCGTGTAGACTATATCAGGGGATGTCGTGTATACTTTATATCAGGGGATGTCGTGTATACTTTATCTCGGGGGCTGTCGTGTATCCTTTATATCAGGGGATGTCGGGTATACTTTATATCGGGGGATGTGGTGTATATTTTATATCAGGGGATGTCGTCTATACTTTATATCGGGGGATGTCGAGTATACTTTATATCGGGGGATGGCACGTATACTTTATATCAGGGGTTGTTGTGTATACTTTATATCATGGGATGTCGTGTATACTTTACATCAGGGGATGTCGTGTATATCAGGGGATGTCATGTATTCTTTATATCGGGGAATGTCATGTATACTTTATATAAGGGGATGTCGTGTATACTTTACATCAGGGGATGTCGTGTATTCTTTATACAGAGAGTATCAGGGGATGTCGTGTATATTTTATATCGGGGAATGTCGTGTATTCTTTATATCAGGGGATGTCAGGTATACTTTATATCAGGGAATGTCGTGGATACTTTATATCAGGTGATGTCATGTATACTTTATACCAGGGGATGTCGTGTATACGTTATATCGGGGAATGTCATGTATAACCAGGAGAGGGGAGGTCCTTTATATCAGGGGATGTTGTGGATACTTTATATCAGGAAATGTCGCGTATACTTTATATCAGGTGATGTCATGTATACTTTATATAAGGGGATGTCGTGTATACTTTACATCAGGGGATGTTGTGTATATTTTATATCAGGGGATGTCGTCTATACTTTATATCGGGGGATGACACGTATACTTTATATCAGGGGATATCATGTATACTTTATATCAGGGAATGTCGTGTATACTTTATATCAGGGGATTTTGTGTATACTTTATATCGGGGGGTGTCGTATATAATAATTTATACAGAGAGTATCAGGGAATGTCGCGTATGCTTTATATCAGGGGATGTCGTGTATACTTTATATCGGGGAATGTCGTGTATACTTTATATCAGGGAATGTCGTGTATACTTTATATCAGGGGATGTCGTGTATACTTTACATCAGGGGATGTCGTGTATGCTTTATATCGGGGAATGTCGTGTATACTTTATATCAGGGGATGTCATGTATACTTTATATCAGGGGATGTCGTGTATACTTTATATCAGGGAATGTCGTGTATACTTTATATCAGGGGATGTCGTTATACTTTATATCAGGGGATGTCGTGTATACTTCATATCAGGGGATGTCGTGTATACTTTATATCAGGAAATGTCGCGTATACTTTATATCAGGGGATGTCGTGTATACTTCATATCAGGGGATGTCGTGTATACTTTATATCAGGAAATGTCGCGTATACTTTATATCAGGGGATGTCGTGTATACTTCATATCAGGGGATGTCGTGTATAATTTATATCAGGGGATGTTGTGTATACTTTATATCAGGGAATGGCGTGTATACTTTATATCAGGGGATGTTGTGTATACTTTATATCAGGGGATGTCGTGTATACTTCATATCAGGGGATGTCGTGTATACTTTATATCAGGAAATGTCGCGTATACTTTATATCAGGGGATGTCGTGTATACTTTATATAAGGAAATGTTGTGTATACTTTATATCAGGGAATGTCGTGTATACTTTATATCAGGGGATGTCGTTATACTTTATATCAGGGGATGTCGTGTATACTTTATATCAGGGGATGTTTTGTATACGTTATATCGGGGGATGTCGTGTATATTTTATATCAGGGGATGTCGTGTATACTTTATATCAGGAAATGTCGCGTATACTTTATATCAGGGGATGTCGTTTATACTTTATATCAGGGGATGTCGTGTATTCTTTATATCAGGGAATGTCGTGTATACTTTATATCAGGGGATGTCGTTATACTTTATATCAGGGCATGTCGTGTATACTTTATATCAGGGGATGTTTTGTATACGTTATATCGGGGGATGTCGTGTATATTTTATATCAGGGGATGTCGTGTATACTTTATATCGGGGGGTGTTGTGTATACTTTATATCGGGGGATGTCGTGTATATTTTATATCAGGGGATGTCGTGTATACTTTATATCAGGGAATGTCGTGTATACTTTATATCCGGGGATGTCGTGTATACTTTACATCAGGGGATGTCGTGTATGCTTTATATCGGGGAATGTTGTGTATACTTTATATCAGGGGATGTCATGTATACTTTATATCAGGGGATGTCGTGTATACTTCATATCAGGGGATGTCGTGTATACTTTATATCAGGGGTTGTCCTGTATACTTTATATCAGGGGATGTCGTGTATACTTTATGTCAGGGAATGTCGTGTATACCCTATACAGTATATCATTCCTTTAGTGTCATCTGTTAACCTCCTTTCTGACTTATCACTTATAACCACCTAAATAGTTTGTTATGTACATTCATACGTGTACAGGTTTTAACTGGAGGAGAGGTTGTAGAAAAGGTTTCATAATTTGAATCTTACTATCTATAGAAGTTGTCTTTTTTTCTGGAAAATGATGGTTGGGTGGTATGTACATGTTACAGACATGAGTTAATTCACACGAGTAGTGTCTTAAAAAAAACAATCCAATAACAGAGAATGTTCAGACTTGAAACTTTTTGCAAAATTTGCGAAAAAATGTATGTTTTGCCACCTGAGAATTTCTTCTTTTTGATTATACAGACAAAGAACGCCACCTACAAGGCTAATCTTCAGAAGTTAAAGAACTTTGTGATGCTTAAGTTCACTGAGGATACCATGGTTCAGCCCAAGGAGAGTGAGGTATGAGGAATATTGACATATTTCATTATCTTCTCAGTCAGGGTTTGTTACTTTTAAAGATTATAAAATGTGTGAATGTTATAGGGAGAAAAAAATAAAACTCTTTTGATGGAAAAGTGTTCCTTCTGAATGCTTTTTTTTTTCAATAGCTAGGTCACACAAACTAAATGGAAATACAATTTGTCATACATTCATGGATGCTTTTAACAATTTGAAATCAGGAATAAATAATAGTTTATGTATCTTGTTTTACAATTGAATTGAAGCAAATTGTTATCATCGTTGACTAATAATTTTTCAGTGGTTCGGATTCTACAAACCAGGCCAAGACAAGGAAGTTGTCTCCCTTAATAATTCTCAACTGTACACAGAGGTACGCAATCTTGGGTGACTTTTGGATTACTCTGATGTGGTGTTTAGCAATATTATATCTTATATCACTTCAGTTATGATTTTAAACAGCAGTGTGACAATTAGTACCATTTATCTGATGTTATTGAATTCAATAAGTACTTAAAAATATATTACGTGTAATTAACATGTTCTCGTCTAAAATTTGATGATTAAGTATCAAACGGTTTTGGTTTATTGATACTGAGGTTTATATGTCCCTGTATGCCAGTACGAGTGATTCACCCGTTATTTTATTGATTTATAAAAACATGTTATTTATGTTATTGTATACTTACAGGTGAATCTGGTATTGTAAGATTAAAAGAAAAAAGATATTTAATATGCTCACATAATGAAATTATTGAAATGACAAAACTAATCTCTTTTTTTTTTCTTCAAATTTAGCTATTTTTATAGTCTAGATTTACTTAATTTAGGCAAATGCAAATTAAAGTTCTTGCTTTTCTTTAATTACAGGACTGGCTTGGCCTGAAGGCTATGGCTGCTACGAACCGCCTCCACTTCCTTAGTTACCCTGGCGACCATCTCCAGTTCACAGAGGAGTGGTTCATCGCCAATATCGTCAAACCTTTCCTCTCACAGTAGACAACCAGGGAGAATTCCCATGACAACAGTAGCAGAGCTCGAAATGTTTTCAGAGGTGTCCAGGCCAAGCTTGTCATCACATAGTGTTAAACTTAACTCAATGATGCTTTAATTACCAATAATCATTTTAGATCGTTACAAAATGATGTAAGACAATGGCTTCTTTTGCTGTTAAAACGGTCAGCATAGATGGAAAAATCATATGGGCGACAGAGTCTGCCCATGGTCAACCTTAAGTTTGGTGGAATATTATAAGGATTCGTTAAAAAGAATGATTAGAGAAAAACAAAGTTAAGGTATGTTGATTACAGGAATTCTAATATTATATTTTTAAAGAAAATTATGAAACATAATTTTTTGTAATCATTAGGAAAATATATTATTCTTGTCAATATTAAATCGTATAAAATAATTAAAATCAGTAAATTTATAGCTCACTTGAAACCATGGTTAAACAAAGGTACACAGATCCATGACAGAAGCATTGTTGGTTATAGTTGTACATTCCAAATATATACTTTGAAAAGTAGTTGTGGATCATTTCAATTATTTATTGTGCGTGTATATTTACTGTGATTGTCTCAAAGGTCTGGCAATGGAAGGGAGACAACCCACTGAGACAGGGATGAATAAAAAACAATGATAGTCATGTGTACCGAGTGTATGGAAATCAGATTTGAGATGATTTTGGAAATGTCCTGCGTTTTAGATGGTAAAAGATAATGATATAGCTGATAAACAACTGACCAACTACTAAGTTTAAAGTGTTATTCAAGTAACACTCCAATAAACATCTTTGTTGATATTATTTTTTTCAGTACTCCTTTGCATACCATATAGTTACTGTCAGATCAGATTACCACAGAATTCCTATAAACACACGTATACAAGAGAAGATTTCCCCCCTTTAAACCATGTTTTTTTGTTTCATCAGGCCCGACCACCCATCATACAGTTTGGGGTCTGTATGCATCTGAAAAGTTGAGCAGAGTTTTGAAATGAAAATCTGAATAATCCTGGCACATTAATAAAGAACTATCGCATTTTATGTAGAAAAAAAATAACAAGAAAGAAAAAGGCAGTCTATGCAATGCATTTGTATATTATGATATTATAGTAAGTGGAATGTTTACCTTGTTGTATTTAAATGTGTTGATTAATTATGATATGTATTATTGGAAGGAGTTTGAGACTCGGGAGAGAAGTGTCTTGAGATTATTATGAAATGTTTGTATGTACATTGCAATCCGTGATTTTTTGTAATAAATTTTGATTTCTTATGATATGAAAAATGAAGTTACTTAAATTATTGAATTTCACTATACAGTAAAACCTACTTAACATGTGATAAGGACAAAGAAAGAAATGTTCCGTGATCTGGATGTTCGAATTTTCAAAGAGAAATAATGAGGTTCAGTTTGTAGGTACGATTTAAAGAAGATTATCTATAGAAGTTAGGACAGGTATTGATCGGGGTCAGAGTTATACTGTATTACATTCTCAAAGTTTCGTTCCTACATTTCCTTAACAGTGACATACTGTTAGTACCAGATTTTTCCATACATCCTATTTCCTAAGCAGTAACACACACAATGTACCAGTTTTTATCATTCTTCGATTTTTGTCTCCCCACCACAAAGTAGCAGAAGCGGGACCAAGGTGTAGCTTTTCCGGCGACGTCAACATTTAGTTTTTGCATTTAAGTTAGTTTCTCTGAAGCTATAAGTGCTACACCAACCAAACTTGACATGTGTATTGAAAGTCAAAGCGGGGCACAGGCGAGACATATCAATCCGAATGGCTTGTTACTCTATACACCCTCAGGAAACATCCATCCAAATGCTATTGTATATTACCTTTATTTACGTCATACACAAGTTGTATTGTGGTGCACCTTGCATCGACAATCAACAAACGTATGTATCTATCCCAGGTATACTAAAACTGTGTCGCGTGCCTGTCTTTATATATGACAATTTAAAATATTTGCAAAGGGAAGCAACTCCTATAGAAGATTTTTTTTTCAACACAAAAAGGTAAATCCAAATAGGAGTACCTTTTCCTTCCTTTGGCTAGGGAAAAAAAAAATTGTGTTTCCCTTTTAACTACCATCCTAAAAATATTTTACTTTCAATTTTTCTTCCAATATTTCAAAGTTTTGATAAATTTTCCTGCAAGAATGCATGTTGTTTTTGATCATACAATATGTACAAAAGTCTAAATAGATGCTGTATGGCAACGCTTGTTTAAACATATTTCTTATAATGGTACGACTCCTGTCACATGGTCAAACCATGAAGGGTTCTTGTTAAAGAAAATGAAAAGTCCACCATAATAATTTTTTCTCAGTTTTAATGAAAATCAATTAACAAAGTTATGATATTCTAACATTGTCAAATAAGAAAACCTTCATTCATCAACTAATACTGTGAGTATTTACAGAGGAGCAAACATGTACAAACAAATATAAACAGTAGGGAGACCAGACATGTACAAACAAATATAAACAGTAGGGAGACCAGACATGTACAAACAAATATAAACAGTAGGGAGACCAGACATGTACAAACAAATATAAACAGTAGGGAGACCAGACATGTACAAACAAATATAAACAGTAGGGAGACCAGACATGTACAAACAAATATAAACAGTAGGGAGACCAGACATGTACAAACAAATATAAACAGTAGGGAGACCAGACATGTACAAACAAATATAAACAGTAGGGAGACCAGACATGTACAAACAAATATAAACAGTAGGGAGACCAGACATGTACAAACAAATATAAACAGTAGGGAGACCAGACATGTACAAACAAATATAAACAGTAGGGAGACCAGACATGTACAAACAAATATAAACAGTAGGGAGACCAGACATGTACAAACAAATATAAACAGTAGGGAGACCAGACATGTACAAACAAATATAAACAGTAGGGAGACCAGACATGTACAAACAAATATAAACAGTAGGGAGACCAGACATGTACAAACAAATATAAACAGTAGGGAGACCAGACATGTACAAACAAATATAAACAGTAGGGAGACCAGACATGTACAAACAAATATAAACAGTAGGGAGACCAGACATGTACAAACAAATATAAACAGTAGGGAGACCAGACATGTACAAACAAATATAAACAGTAGGGAGACCAGACATGTACAAACAAATATAAACAGTAGGGAGACCAGACATGTACAAACAAATATAAACAGTAGGGAGACCAGACATGTACAAACAAATATAAACAGTAGGGAGACCAGACATGTACAAACAAATATAAACAGTAGGGAGACCAGACATGTACAAACAAATATAAACAGTAGGGAGACCAGACATGTACAAACAAATATAAACAGTAGGGAGACCAGACATGTACAAACAAATATAAACAGTAGGGAGACCAGACATGTACAAACAAATATAAACAGTAGGGAGACCAGACATGTACAAACAAATATAAACAGTAGGGAGACCAGACATGTACAAACAAATATAAACAGTAGGGAGACCAGACATGTACAAACAAATATAAACAGTAGGGAGACCAGACATGTACAAACAAATATAAACAGTAGAGAGACCAGGAGTTTTCCTAACCTAATTAAATAGCCAATGGTATTCTGGCACTTCATACAGGCCCATGGCTCACGAAGGATTCAGACTTCAGTCAAAGTGTGAGTGTTGTTAAAGTGACATCTTTAAATGTGATTATATATGCATGAACATATTGTAAATACGGGCAAATTGATCAAGTTAGGAGTGATTTCCAAAATAATAATAATTACCAATTATCAGTTAAACAAGTACTGAACATGATACATCATATGTATATTTATTGACATTTAAAATTTTGACTCAAATCCAAGACTGTTTCATGAGTCTGGGGTCTGCAGTTCAAGTTGATAAATAGATATCACTCTAAAGGGAAATAGTTTTTCCTTCATTTTCTTTTATTCTACAGAATTGGATATATAAACTATTTTCACTCCTTGAGCAGATAAACATGTTCTTCATGTAATTTTCAGTATTGATAAAATTTTCATCAATACCATTCTACTTTCAATACATATCCTATTTAGCCTGACTGGCTCTCAAGGAACGACTCCATGTACATCAACGGAAAAATCTACTCTTTATGTAAACAATAAATATATTACAAACCGGCGTATGGCCTCCCGAAATAATGTCATGTTAATCGACTTCCAGGCAGTCATCCGATTTTAAATAATATACAACACACTATCTGGTACATTATAATCATAGAACTTCATGATAAATTGCATTTATGAAAGTAGCCATAGAGAGGTGTTTATTTATAAAGTAATGTAAAAGAAATTCTAAACGGGAGAAAAAATGTAACAGTGGTATCTATAAGCAGATAACTTGACAGTTTACTCTGATGACTGATGAAGAAGGCATGAATTCTGCTATCATTAAAAGTCACACAAACAATTATGTTGTTAATTATGAAAGTTTGTTTACAGAAGCAGACCTCCTGAAGCTGTAGCGTTTCCATGGCTGTATTTTGTGATTCACTCGGCAGACATAGCGTTTCCATGGCTCACACTCGGCAGACATAGCGTTTCCATGGCTGTATTTTGTGATTCACACTCGGCAGACAATCAAGTTGAAAAGTGGTTAGACTTGCTATTGTAGCTGAGGTGAAATAATATTTTGTTGTAAGCTTTCCTTTGGTCAGGTTATGGTCAGGTCAATTCTTTTTTTAAGCAACAAACAATGATGGATTTACAAAATACCCTATATAAATAGTTTCTTGCACTAAATATTCCATATCAAACCACATGCCAGAAGAAAATCATTTTCAAAAAAAAGATGAACACTCCATTAATAAATGTAAATTAAAATCAAGTTGAGATGACAGTACCGGGTAATGAAAGCACATAAACATTGTGTACTGACGTACAGAAATATCCCAGCATGCATTATAGCACGCAAAAACTGATTGACTTTAGCAATGTTATTTTTAATACTGTGATGGAAAGAAATGATAAAGTTATTTTTTTATTTTTTATTTTTTCCATTATATTAGTAAAATCTCAGACTGAAAACTACTTATGACATGAGTAAATAAGGTGTTTGTGATAACCAACCTAAATATACCTTATGGTACATGTACATTAAATTGATTACCCATGTAGGTTAATGCTTCACACCAAGTCCTCAGACAGGGAGTAAAATGAGTACACACTGTCTTATAGTTAAAATTGACCCTAGATACAGGATGTATACAGGTTAACATCTCATACTGAATCTCAGCATTGAAGTGCTCTAATGTTTTCAGTAGGAAACAGTTATATGCAAAAATAAACTACATTCGTATAAGAGACCTGAAGATTATAAAACAGGGAATTTATCTTCTGTACCTCAGGGCATCATATTGGTTTTGTTAATACTTTCCTAAAACTTTACTGTGAAAAAATTTATAATCTTCTATCTTAACAGTTACCCAACATATAATTGTCCTTGTATGATTAAAGAGGAAGAACCAAAAATTAACGGTGAAGTAACTTTTCTAGTCCCGATATCTCAGGCCTTGTGACTACAACAATACACATATTAATTAGCTATATGGTGGTGAGCTCTGTAATGTCATTCAAGCTTCGGACAAACAGCTATGTACAGTACTGTAACAGATGTACATTAAATGATGTCTGCTTCCATCACAACCTAACACTTGTCTGGACATTTACACTATTGTGGTATACACAGGTATACATATGATACTTCGATGACACCATAAATAAATTTCAAACCTGATCATTTCTAGTTCATGTAATTCAGTACATATCCACATGATCACTCCACTAACTAGAGATCTGAATACACACTGACATTTTTCAAAGTGTAAAATGCTATTATTTCATTTCAAATTGCTTAGCATGACTTGGTGTTACAATGAACTGATACACAAACTACTTAACAACAGCAATACACCATTCCCCTGTGGTATCAAGGCAGCTTTCACAGCCTCCATTATATAATACCTACGAAAATGTGCTACAGTAGTATGTAAAAATAAGTGCCATAATGTATACATGCAATGCACTCTTCAAAAGAAGGGCATTTCTATTCTGGATTTTTTTTTATTAACATCAAATTTTCTTCAGGGAAATAAGGTGTGAGAAGAAAGTCCTAGGGCTGGATTTTTGAGGATTCTGTCAACATCTTAGTTCATAGAGTAAATAGATCTAGAGAAATGTGGATGTGTAGACATATGTAATGAGTAGATTATAAATATCAGCTATCACATAACAGCTTACATAACACACAAGTATAAACAGTCATATCTACAACAAAAATGGTAACAATCTCATATATCTCATATTTCACGTACACATACATACTAAAGTGAAATCATACTTAAATCAAAACTGGGTATAAAAACATTCAACATCAGTTCATCACCTGATAATATCAACAGGGGAGATAACTCAGGTTTTGATCTCGTCTGGACATCGTGTCAAATCAGCCTCATTATGAGGTCGTCATTGACATTGAAGATTAATATATACAATTAAAAAATGGATTTGAATTGAAAGTTTTTCCAAATAGTCAATAGAATTGCATTTTTATAGATAATAATAAGAAAACATATTCATGTGACAATCATGGAATGTAAGGAAATGATTTCATCACTATTACTGTTGTACACAACCAATAGACGAGAAGCACTAACTTATAGACACTAGAAACACCCAGTATCACCAGACTACCATTTCTGATGCAAAATTGTTTAGAAAACTAATACCACTGGTTTAATTTAATATCAACATCCTGAATTCTGATATATATTTTCTCAAAGAAGGATCATTATCTTGTTAAAAATGCAGATTTTTTTCCAATTTTATCATTATGATCAAACCTTCTACCCAAATTTATCACGAACAATAACTGTACAGGGTAAGGGTGGGCTTATTGCTGAGCATGTTCACTCTCATGGTAAAGTATGATACTGTTCACAACATGAAATAAACTTGGTATTTCCATTTGAAATAATGAAATTGATTTGGTTTGGCCATTGATATTAATTAATGTAAGGATTTCCCACTTTTACCTGCATCAGTCAGAACACAACCAAGGACTAGGGGAGTAAAACCTACCGATGAGTTCAGTAATGGATGTCTATGATGAAATGTAGCTAGTGATGTTTGGAGACATAAACAGGACATTGTTTTAGTCATTTTTAGTAAACAGCTTACAGGAATAGGGCAGTGGGAAGCTTATTATTGTGAAATGCTGGTAGCAAATAGTTCTTTTTAAAAGAAAAACAAGAACCAAAAAATAATGAAAAAATAAGTATTGTGCTGGAGCCACATATATAATACATGTACATGACCTTAATCAATACCACACATGATCGTCAGGTGATGCAATGTGTGTATGATATACAAGGTGTGTCAGGTGATCAAAGACATGGTGTGGATTGTCACATAATACGTGTCAAGTGACACATGAAACGTCATGTAACACTTGGATCATGAGACACATTATTTCATGTATCTTGGGACATTTATTTATCATGTGATATGTTCATGTGACATGATAGATCACATGACATGTAGGTATGTGACACTTGATAGATCACATGACATGTAGGTATGTGACACATAACAGATCACATGACATGTAGGTATGTGACACATGATAGATCACATGACATGTAGGTATGTGACATATAATAGATCACATAACATGTAGGTATGTGACATATGATAGATCACATGACATGTAGGTATGTGACATATGATAGATCACATGACATGTAGGTATGTGACACATGATAGATCACATGACATGTAGGTATGTGACACATGCTAGATCACATGATCAATGGGTCATGTGAAACATGAATTTACTTAAAACAAGTGTTGAGATTAGCTGATGATATCATCAGTATATATAGACTGTACAGCTCAAATCTCAATATACCTTATCATCAATGCAGAAAATCCATTATTCCATTCAAAATATCAAAACATAGGAGGTTCAACTGTAATTTCCTATTTCTGTTTTGAGAACCTACTACATCAGAAGTGGCTGTATCTCTGTATCTGACACCCCACTACATCAGAACTGGCTGTATCTCTGTATCTGACCCCTCACTACATCAGAACTGACTGTATCTCTGTATCTGACCCCCACTACATCAGAACTGGCTGTATCTCTGTATCTGACACCCCACTACATCAGAACTGGCTGTATCTCTGTATCTGACCCCCGACTACATCAGAAATGGCTGTAACTCTGTATCTGACCCCCCACTACATCAGAAGTGGCTGTAACTCTGTATCTGACCCCCCACTACATCAGAAGTGGCTGTAACTCTTATCTGACCCCCCACTACATCACAACTGGCTGTATCTCTTTATCTGACCCTCCACTATATTAGAAGTGGCTGTAACTCTGTATATGACCCCCCACTACATCAGAAGTGGCTGTAACTCGATGTTAGCACTCTCCCACACACCACAGGGTATCGCAGCCTCCCTGTGTGTTGAACTAGTATTATCTAAAGAGAGAAGCCTGTAGCCAAGCCAACACCATTGTTATAGTGACGGCTATGTAAGTCTGTGAAAGAGAGCTCGCCCGCGACACAAATTTACATGGTAGCACAAGGTCGCGGGTTGCGGGACACCGCCCCTGCTGGGCCAGAGTACTGGTAGACTTGTCCTCGTGAGCACATGTTCCATTGAGTATCCTGTATGCACCAGAGTTCACTATACTGTAAAGACAAATATACACATACATGAGAAATCTTCAATGAAGATCAACTTGTAACTTCAGGATACATACTGGTTTACTGTGACATTCACCTCCAATGACAAATAGTTCCACCAAAAAGTTCCACATAAAAAAAAATAAAAAAATCTTTGGCTTTTGCTAGTAAAGCTCTTTTGTCCTAACTGTCTTTGGCTTTGGCTAGTAAAGCTCTTTTGTCCTAACTGTCTTTGGCTAGTAAAGCTCTTTTGTCCTAACTGTCTTTGGCT